CCACCCTTTCTTAACAATCCAGATGAGAAAATCATGAGACCCCCATGGCCACCAGTGAGGATAGCACTGGACACAGTCCTATAATGCTCACCCCTTGAGTGCTAAGTCAGCCAAGTCTGTGGGCTTGGCCTTGCCTTGCTTCCCCAAGTCTGGTGCCCAGCCCAGTCAGGAAAGGAGGCTTCTCTGGATTCCCCTCCAGCCCCATCAGGCCAAGAGCAGGGAGGGCTACTCAGAGGACACTCCTGGCTCATCCAAGCATTGGGAATGAAAGGCACTTCCTTGATGATAAGCAGATTCACAGCCCTTCAACAATAAGTGCCTAATTACTTGCCTCAGGAACCTGGATGGTTTCCCAGACCCAGAACCTTGTCCTCACCTATGCAGATCCTACCCAGGCTCTCTTCCTTCAAGGGCAGCACAGTCCCTCAGGTTCCATGCCCATCTGTGCATAACTCTCTCTAGTTCTCCTTCCTACCAAATTCCCAGCCCTCCCCCAGCTCTAAAGTCTCCATATCTAACCTGGAGGACATGCTATCTCTTTCTCCTTCCCTTACTCCATTGTCATCCTTCTCTGACTACTCAAAAGCAAAATAGTGTCACCCCCCCCAACATAGGTGTCTGCCTTGGCTGTCCTCATATTACCCCCTCCAGCCTTCATGGTATGTCTGCCCCCAGGGACGAGGAAAAAAGATAAGTCCTGAGCCCTGCCCCGAGGTTGAAGGCAGGCACCCCCTAGGGCACTATAAGAGAGGTTTGGATACTACCCCTGGGTCTCCTAAACCTGAACAGAAGTCCTCCAACTCTCAACCCTGCCTTGGAAGGCAGGCAAGTTGGGAGGCCCAGCCACCTTTGCCAATGAACAATCTTCAATTGTGGAAAGCATGAAACCCACACAGACTGTCACTGGGCATGTGTTGACATTTTCTGTAACTTACTGATGAGGGAGCCAAGTAAGATGACAAAATTGCTTCAAAAAAGACTAAGAAATGTATACATAAATATGAAGTGGGTAGAGGAAAAGGAAGAGGGAAGGGAGAGGCAAGGGAGTGTATGAAAAATACTACATACCCATTAATCATAGGGAATGCATACAACTGCCAAGGTAGATACAAAGCTAGGTAATGTTTATAGGACAATATAATTGTAAGCTTTAGGGTTAATTTTTCTATGAAATTTTTTTCTTTCAAGTACATCATTTGCATCTTATCAGTTTTCTGTACATTAGCTCCTAACTTTACAGTCAGTACCCCAATCAATGGTAAATATGAGTCACTTTCCCCTAGAGAATCAGATGTTTTTAGGTGGTTTTGTTAACATAACACTAGAGAACAGCACTGTTGGGGCTGGCGTGGCTCAGTGAGTGGTACAGTGCCAGCCTAGCAAGAATGAAGCCCTGAATTCAAATCCCAGTACCACCAAAAAAAGCCAATATTCAAAGAACAGCACTGTCCAATACAAATATAATGCAAGCCAAACATGGAAAGTTAGATCTTCTGGTTGCCACGTTTTTAAAAACAAGAAGAAACAGCAAAATTAATTGTGATAATATATTTTGGTTAACCCAATCTATCTAAAATATTATTGTTTCAATGTATAATCAATACAGAATTGCTAATGCATTATTTTATATTCATATTTTCTAGTAATTCAAACCTGATATATATTTCACACATATAGCCCATCTTAAATTGAAACTAGCCACATTTTAAGGGTTCAATGCCACTTGGAGCTAGTTGCTATGGGGCTGGAGCAGGGTTCTCAAGCTTTAGGGTGCATCAGAATCATCTGGAGAGCTCATGAGAATACAGATGTCTGGATCCCACAGAAAGAATTTGAATCCAGCAGGTCTAGGGTAGGGCCTGAGGTTCTGCACATCTAGCAAGTTCTCAGGTAATGCTGATACTGATGAAAACCACTATTCCAGGATGACTTTGAAAAGACACACAGTGATCTTTTTGCCTTATTTCCAAGTTGTGGATAATTTTCTTCACACCCTTCCAGCTGGCGGTGTGGGCAGCAGGCTGTCTGGAAAAAGTTTGCATTGGCTCACTCTCTGACTGGGAGCAGCCTATGAGCCACCAGCTAGTAGTGGGTGTGATTACAGCAGCTCCACCCATGGCCTCTCCTGGGTGCTGCCTCTGAGCTGGAGGCTAGACGGAAGGGAAAGGGACTGACCCTCAACATCCCACAGCAGGCCTAGTCCTTTTGCTGGGTGCTTCTTTTTCATCATCGTTCTGCAGGCAGTGCTAACCAGGCTCAAAAAGTGTGATGACCTGGGGCAGGCCTACTGGCAGGGTCCTAAGGCTGCAGGTACTGGCAGGGTCCTAGGGCTCTCTGAAGCCTACAGTGGCCAGACAGGACACAGGAATTGTAATGGTCCAAAGGACAAATGGAACTTGTAGTGGAAAAGGAAAATGTGAGAGACCTGCTGAACAAGGACTGTGGAAGGGACAGGGACAGGTCAGGACACTGCACGGGACAACAGCCCGGGGGGGGGGGGAGAGGGGGGGAAGGAAAGGTTGTCCCAGAGGCAGGGCTGGAAGGCAGGAGGCCATCAATTGTTGCTCTCCAAGTCCTGAATGCAAAAGAAATTACCCCAGTCACAGGGTGAATCAGTGTGTGTGGTCCAAAGTCCACATTTGGCTCCATCCCAAGGACCCTTTTTCTTCATTCTCTAGGTCTGGGAGTGGGATTGGGTATAGTGGGCAGGTATGGGTTTAAGGGAAGCACATGCCATGCTGGTTGCATCATCAGTGCTCTCCAAGAGTTAGTATTAATCCCCCAGGACAGGGCCTGTGTCCTGCCCTTGTGTGTTTCCCTCTTTCCAGCATCTGGTAAATAACTGAGCTTCACGGGCACTGGATTTCAGTGAACTGGCCTGCACAGTGTGTATGCTTAGGGGGTCAGTACTCTATGTCACATGAGTGTGGGACATGTATGAAGTTACTACCATGTGGGTAGCAGTATCTACACCGTGGGTGCCTTAAAGGATGTAGGAAGTGATTACTATGGCATTTAATGTCAGATAAATTGAGTGTCTACACTGCACAGGTATGCTATTTAGGAGCATCACCTTGGGGTGACTTACAGGAGTATATATGACATCTGTTTGGGACATAAAAGCTATCTCATTGCAGGGTATCCTGCAGGGGTGAATGGAGTGTCTACACAGTGGATGTGCATTGTTTGGAATCCTGTGGGGGATCTGTGGGCGTATACATGATCTACAATGTGGGGAAGTATTTTCTGTAGATGAAAAGGGGTGCTGATTTAATTTCTCTATGGAAAGGGAAATAAAGGGACTCTCAGGGGTGCCCACTGGTATGGTGTGAGTCTGACAGGTGCTGCAGACAAAAGCAGGGTCCTGGGAGAGGTCATCTCCCCCAGCTGTCCATGAGAGACTGCCCTGGGGGAACACCTCTGTTCCAGGCTCGTGCCCACTCATCCCAGCATTTGAAGACCCTCCAGACTAGGCTTAACAATTCCTCCTCTGAATTTTATGTTTGCAGACTTGGAAGCAACTCTGGTTAATTAAATGAATGTTCATATTTGGGTGTATAAATAGTACATAGGTAGCTATGTATAATAGTTAAGGGTCTACCCTGGTTTTGGACCCTTCTCTACTATTTATTATAATAAACAGTAAGGTTTTTTTTTTTTAAAAAAAATGCCTCCCAAATAGACAGAAATAAAATGAGGACGCCGACTGAAGGATCCCACACAGTGCCCCAGGAGCCTGTGCCACACCCCAGAACTTGCCAGACTTTAGCCCTGCCCTCTCCAGTTATTACGGGAACTTCCCCCAGATGCTCACAGAATCCCACAGACCAAAGGCACACATTGATTGTATTCTGAGTTTACTAAGTGCACAGTTGCCAAAGCACTGTCCATGGTTACCTTCCTGATGAGTGACAGAGCAAGGTCCCACCCTCCCCTCCAGCTGCCTGGAAGGACTGGAGGACAAAGTACCTGTGTGTTAGTACATAAAGTGGCCTCATCACTGCACATACTGTGCTTTTCTCTGATTATTATATGTGAAAAAGAAGATAGACATTGGTATCTCTACAGTGTGTCTGGCAAACACACCGTGAGTCTGTCTCTAATGGGTATGTGCTCCGTGTGATTAAGCATTCCATGTGTATAATGGATATAGCACATGTGAGAGAAGGATCTGTTACATGGGATGGCTTACAGTATTTGCAATGACTGTATTTTGGGTAATCATATACAACATGAAGTGGTGTATTAATGTATAAACTCTGTTCCATATTCTTTCTGCACATATACTCTGTAGGATGGGCACATACCATACATGGAGGGTATAGATTTGTGTATGGTTATATACTCTGTGTGAGAGGAATGCAGGTCCTGTGTGGAGTACACATTGTATATGCTTGTGATGGCTATATCATATAAGGCATATACAGTGTCTATAATGAATACAACATTTATAAGAGTATACGTGTGGGGGCTGGGTATTCTCTCGGGGAAAGATATGCTGTGTGATAGATGCACTGTATGTGTGATGGGCACAGACTATGACAGATCTACACTATGTCAATAACTTTACAGTGAGTAAAGTACACGTGAATAAGTACATGCTACATGGGGGTATACATTGTATGTGTGTTGGGTGTAATTTATGAATAATAGGTACATATTAGTACCTATTATTTATATATACATATATTATATATAAATGAACATACTCTCTGATGCATATATACTGTGTAGATGTGATAAATATATTTTATGGACAAATATGCACTGTGTGATCTGTACATAGTGTGCCTATGGGGGATATTCTATGTAGTGAGGTAATCCTTGTGATATGTCTGTTTGGTCTGTAATGGACACCCTGTGAATATACAGCTCATGATGGGAATATGGGGTGCACACCAAACAGAAGGGAGTCCCTCTGCTGGAAGGGAGCCTGGCAGGGAGCAATTTGATCTTCATCTGTCTCCAGACTCTGGAATCCAACAATCTCACTGTTTCAGGTTCTTCCTCAAATTCTTCCTCAAATGCAACCAGAACTGCCTGAAGAACGCAGGGAATCCCAGAGACATGCGCCGCTTCCAGGTGGGTTTGGGGAGAGGTTCCAGAGGCAAACCCACCCTTTCCTGATAGGAGGGGGAAGGGAAGGCTGAGATACTGCCAGGGTAGATCTCTGCCCAGCCCTGTGGCTGGCTCACTGGCCTGGTGCCTGCTGGGGGTTGGGCAGCTCCATCTCAACTTATGCTGGCTGCCAAGGGAGGCTTCATTAGAGTCCCACTTAAGAAGATGCTAATTGTGACATTTTTACATGATTAACGACCCAGGTAATTTGCATAGTGTGAAGCAGAGAGCAGCTGCCCTTAGCACATCCCCAACCTGCACACAACCCCCCAGCATAGCAGGTAGTGGGAGAAGGCAGCCCCAATTTCCTCCTTAGAAGAGGGTGGGGGCTCCTGCTGATGGGTTTCCAGTGGATGTTGCCCCCACCCCTTTGCCTAACTGGGCATTCCTGCCCTGTGTGTACATCCTGGTGTCCCTGTGTGTGTAATGACAGGAACCCCTCTTTTCCCAAGGAGCCGGGTTTTTTTCAGGACTTTCGATTTTTCTAGATCCTGGGTCTGGGGGAGTCATCTGATCCAGCTGGCCCCAATTTCACCCACTCAGACCGCGGGGTAACTGAAGACCCCTCCCATCTATCCAAGGACCCGGAACTCCAGCATCTAGTCACCAGTCTCAAGTTGTTACTTCCCCCAACACAGTGTCCTCTTCTTGGCCCCTTCCAGACTGGCCTTGGCTCTCCCCACAGGTGGTGGTGTCCACGACGGTGAGCGTGGATGGGCACGTGCTGGCTGTGTCCGACAACATGTTCGTGCATAACAACTCCAAGCATGGCCGTAGGGCACGACGCCTAGACCCCTCCGAAGGTCAGGCCCCCTGGCCCAGCCCTGGCCAACCCCCAGTCCCCACCTTGGCGCGGTCCCTTGACCTGGGTCCTCTCCTGCCTCCCAGCTGCCACCCCCTGCATCAAGGCCATCAGCCCCGGGGAGGGCTGGACCACGGGCGGCGCCACCGTGATTGTCATCGGCGACAACTTCTTCGACGGGTTGCAGGTCGTGTTCGGGAACGTGCTCGTGTGGAGCGAGGTGGGCCACCCCCGCCAGTCTCCCTCCGGGCCTCGGGGCTGGGCCCTCCCCACGGGACGGGACCTGCAGGCCTCCCCTCTCCCCTCGCAGCTCATCACGCCCCACGCCATCCGGGTGCAGACGCCCCCGCGACACATCCCCGGGGTGGTGGAGGTGACCCTCTCCTACAAGTCCAAGCAATTTTGCAAGGGAGCCCCCGGCCGCTTTGTCTACACAGGTAAGGGATCAGTTGGCAGAGCTCAGTGGTCAACCGAGCGAACTCTAAAGCGGTACACCAAAATCTAAGGTGTGGCCACGCCCCCTAGACGGCTGCCCCGCCCCGCCATGCCCGCCAGTACTTGCCCACAGCTCCAGGCCTGGTCCTTCTTTCCCTAGCCTTCTGTTTCCTTCCCTTGGCTTCTGGCTCCTCAGAAGCTCTGCTCAGGCCTTCTCACCAGAGTGTCCCCCTTCCCCGGCCCCCTCCGGAGTTTTGTACCTCTCCAAGGATATGTTTCTTTCAAACATACCCCCAAATGGGCTCATTGCTCTCCAAACTTTTCCGGAGTCGCTTCGGTACCCCAGGCCTCACTCTGCATGCATCCGCACGCGCGCGCGCATATATACCCTTCCACGACCCAGGGAGAGAGGTTAACACAAGGCATGTGTTCACGTCGTATCCAGGGTCGATTTAGCCACTAGCGTGGATCTTCACCTCCATCCTCGCGCCGGGCCCCAACTCAAGCCACTGATTTCTCCCTATTCCTCAATTCCCATCCTCATGGATATTCACCAAGGCTTAGAGGGGGCAATGGATGCTCCGCGGTGATTCTACTTACTCTCAGGCAGCTTGGGAAAGCCGAGCACTTAGCAAGCAAAGAGTGGGATGGATGGCGTTACGTGGTCAAGGGCTTGACTGTGAGCTAAATCCCCCATCGGCCCAGGAATATGGGCTGAACTGGGCAAAGCTGAAACTTTAGGGAGGGAAGGGAGGTCGCAGGAGAAGGACTGGCCAGCGCAAAGACGCGGAAGTGAGTGCTTTACGTTTTGGGGAAAACTAACGGAAATTCACTAAATCTGAAGTTGGAAATGGAGGAAGTCGATCTTTGAGGCTGGTGGGTTAGGTCGGTGCCAAGCTACCCAAAGAGGTGAAGGAAGAGGCTGGAGGGGGAAGAAAGGGAGGGGAAAGAGTAGAGTTTTCTGTATCTCATGAGAGCCCAGGGTGTGGGCCAGGCGTGCTTTGCCTGCGGTACACAGAAATCTCCAACGGTCACACTCTGCCCGGAGTCCATCTGAGCCATGATAAATAGAATAGTTAAAAAAAAAAAAAAAAGCTCCTGGTGTGACCAAATGGAAACAGAAAATTGTCCCTCAGGTCCTGCCCTAGAAATAATATAGAAGCTAGTATGTATATACAATTTCCCTCGTTTTTGTTTGTTTTTGTTTTTGAAGACAGGGTCTCACTTTGTAGCCCACACTAGCCTGTCTCCACCTCCCAAATGCTGGAATTATAGGCGTATGCCACCATGTCTGCCTCGGGTTTTTTTGTTTGGTTGGTTTTGGTGGTAGTGCTGGGGTTTGAACCCAGGGCTTCACACTTGCTAGGCAGGCGCTCTTACCACTTGAGCCACTCCGCCAGGCCTTCCTTGTCTCTTCCTTAAGCACCAGTCGGATCGTATGGTGCATGTGTGTTGACGCCAAGTGCCTGGCTCAGAGCCTGGCTCCATAAATATTTGCTGAATGAATGAACAAGCGAACGAAGAAACTGAGAAAACCTCCTGAACCTTGGATCCCCTGGGCCCCAGGGTTTTCCTGGGGACTTGGGTTAGACTCGGTGGAGGGGATCTGCAGCAAGACTCCTGGACTGCTCACTTGCGTGTTATTTTTTGTGTCCTGTGATCTACTGTGGGAGGAGGCGTCCTCTAAACACCACCCCTCTCCCCAGCCCTGAATGAGCCCACCATCGACTACGGATTCCAGAGGCTACAGAAAGTTATTCCTAGACACCCAGGAGACCCAGAGAGGCTGCCCAAGGTACTCAAGGGAGGGGGATGAGAGTGTCATGTGGAGACAGGGTGTGGAGAAACTCCCGGGGGTCCCTCGCCGCCCCCTAGGGGCTGCCCCTCCGTCGCGCTGTCTCCTCCCCTGCCCTCAGGAAGTGCTGCTGAAGCGGGCGGCCGACTTGGCGGAGGCCCTATACGGAATGCCTAGCAGTAACCAGGTATGGCGCCTCCGCCCGCCTCCTAGCGTCGCGGGCCCCGGGGCTGCCCCTGACCCGGGGCCCGCGGTTGCCCCGCGGAACCCTGCCCTTGTCTTCGCAGGAGCTGCTTCTGAAGCGCGCAGCGGACGTGGCCGAGGCTCTGTACAGCGCTCCCCGCGCACCAGCGCCGCTCGGACCCCTGGCCCCGAGCCACTCGCACCCAGCGGTCGTGGGCATCAACGCCTTCAGCAGCCCTCTGGCCATCGCCGTCGGGGATGCCACACCGGGGCCCGAGCCAGGTGCGTCCCGCAGCCTCTCCTCGCAGTCCCAGGACGCCTGGACGGCCCTCGCCCCGCCAGCGCTGCTTCCCTGACCACTGCTCTCTCTCAGGCTACGCCCGCAGCTGCAGCAGCGCGTCCCCCCGCGGGTTCGCGCCCAGCCCCGGCTCTCAGCAGAGCAGCTACGGCAGTGGTCTTGGACCCGGCATCGGCAGCTATGGCGCGCCAGGTGTAGCTGGCCTCGGTGTGCCTGGGTCCCCTAGCTTCCTCAATGGCTCCACCGCCACCTCGCCCTTCGCCAGTGAGTGTCCCCTGCCCACGGAAGGGAGGGACGGGCCTGGGGAAGCAGAATGGGACTCGGCCCTGCATCCAGCACGGGGGAAGGGCACCCTTCCCACCACTTCCTCATTGGGGTGCACCCTGTCCTTGCAAGCAGTCCTCACTCCATGTGACCTCTCCATGCCGTTGAACCTGAACCCCATTACTCCGGGATTCCATGGTTCTGAGGCCAAACTACTTCATGCACCTTTAGCTTTCTTTGCTGACTCCACTTGTACACATCGCTTCTAGCTCTTCCGTCCTTTTGAAGCGTGCTTTAATTGAGGGGAGCTGGCCTGAAACCTACCGCCACTTTTCTGTCTTCCAAAGGACCCTGGCGCCCTCTACTGGGAGCCCAAGAAACTCAGGGCTCTAATGAAGCGGGTTTGCTGCGGGCCCCAAGCCCGCTCTGAGACGCCGCTGCGTGGGCGGTGGCAAGATGCGGCTCCCTACAATTCGGGTCAGACAGGGAGCGAATTCTGTGTGGTCAGACTTGTATTCCGAGTTTTAAGTGTCCAAATCAGAAGTGGTCCGACATTCAGCAAGTTACTTCTTTGAACTTTAGTTTCCTTTCCATAAAATAGGATCATTATCACCCCCTGCCTAAGGTGGGTCTCAGATCTGAATGTGCCACTGCGCATAAAGAACTAGATTTTTCAGGAAAAACATATGATTTCAAATACCCAGTCTCCACTGTAGGTGATCTCCCTCTGGCTTCTTGGGGTGGGACAGCTCAAAAGTAGGTGGATGGACAGTGTCTGTATGTCTTGGGTGAGTGAATCCAAAACTACTTTTACCTTTTACTACTTTACACGGCCCTCCAGTCCTTTCCAATATCAATGGATATACTATTGTCTACGGCCATACTACCTGAACGCACGGGATCTCTCAGCCAGTATCAGTGGCTACTCAGCACCTACTGTGTACAAAGCACCAGGCTCAGGGGATTGCTCTGTCCTTGCCCATCAGCAAGAAGCCTCCTATCAGTTACGAGAGAGGTTGTCCCTCAAGGTGTAAGAGACCACTGAGCCCAAGAAATGGTGACAGTTTCCCAAGAAGTTGCTGGTTGTGGCTTTGTCTACAGTTCTCTCACATCTCCCCATTCTCTTTTTATATTGTTGAAAACAGAACTATCTAACCACCTTCCTGGATTTCCTTGCCAGGGGTCTATGTCCTGGGTGCTGTTCTTTCTAGCTAGGGTTTTGAATCTGCATCTCCTTCTGCCCTGGGGTCAACCTCTGGAAATCAAGGCCCCATAAGCCCAAGTCCACACAGGCCATAGCCCTTTGGTGTCCCTCCCAAGGCCTCTCTTTCCCTGCCTTTTGCTCATTTGGGTTCTGCTTCTCCACTTGCCTTCAGTTCTGGGACAGTAGCCTCATAATCTCTCTGGGTTTCCCTTGGATTTAAACCTTTATGGTGGAACCCCCAACCCCTTCCCACATACAGTGCAGATAACAGTAAAAGAACACACTTCCCCAGTGCACAGAAACCAAACCATCTAGGGTTTCTCTTTTCAGCAAGAAAAGCAAGAGTTCAGAGCTGCCTAAACCCTGCTTCTAGAATCAGCCAGGACACCCTGGACTCTCACCAGGGTTGGTCCCATCTCATGATCTTGTTTTGGCCCGTGTTTCCCCAGACCCCCATCTACTCCCCACATGCAGAATTCTTTGTGGCACAACTGCATGGAGTGTTACCCTTATTGAGTTTTTAGGACATTCCTGGAATGGCACCAGAACTGTCCCTATCAGAGGGTTTAGGTCTCTGCTTGGATCTCCACTTGGTCTTCTGTGTCAGCCACCATAAACCCTAGAATGACCCCCACCTCCCAGTACTACTCAAGCTACAATGTGGCTGGGAACTCTCTGGGCCTTGACTATATATATATATATATATATTCTGGTGTTGGTCTCAATCCCTCGTCTCAAAGGAGATAGTGACGTTAGGGCTGAGGACATTTTGAAGAGAGCATCATTTTATCAAAGTTGGGATAGGATGCTCTGATGCCAAAGACAGCCTCCTCAGACATCAGCTTTTTTTGAGGAAGTTGCCTAACCACTGCCATTGCCTTCTACTTGGAAACAGGCCACAGCCTCATTGGTCTTTAGAAGAGAGAGGCAGGGAATTGGGTTCAGGTGAGGATGTAGACAGGCGTGATCCAGAGAAGGCTTGGGCAATAGACTCCAGGAGAGGAGGCTACAAAAAGAAGGGACAGGCAAAACCTGTGTGCCTCTATACCCAGGAAGGCAAGCCACTGCCCTGTTGACCACAGAATTGGAGAGCAGAAAGCTTTGAGGATGAGATTCCTCATTTTTCTATAAAACGATCAATAGAAAAAGAGAGATACAGGAGGTCTCCAGGGTCCAGACTGGAGATGACAGGGACGTGCATTAAGCTTTGGAAGGAAACAAAGTGCCCAGGGAAGGGGGGCGCAGTGGCAGACCTTTAATAGGGGCTATTGCGGAGGAGAGCACATTTGCAGAAGAAGTTAGGGTGTTTGCGTGAGCTGTGATCTGTGGCAAAGAATCCTTACAACGGGAGTCTATATGTGCCCCCAAACTTCATCCCTGACTACTTGCCCCAGCTCTGCTATGATTCCTAAACTTTGACTCTAGCCTTGGCAATCCAGGGCTTATGAACATTTCTTTGCATCTCAGAATCCCAGTAACTCTCAGCAGGAATCCCCATCTTGTCATGTCTTGCTCATCTCTCATCTTTGGGGCACCTCCCACTGTTTGGTTGCTTTTGTTTTCACCCTGCCTGACCCTGTCATTTCCAGTCCTGAGAAATTGTCTCCAGAGTCCCCAAGAAGGTGAGGGCTGGCCCAGGACCCCAGATACTCCCAGCCCACCTCCAGACCTGCCCTGCACTGGTCTCCCTAGAACCCTCACAGCCCCCCTAGGGAGATTTGAGCCTGGAGCATGGTCAGCAGCCCACACAGGACCTATTGCCCATGCAGGGCCCCAACCCCGCTGCTCACTCTGGTGCTGTTTCCCTGTTGTGTCTCCCACCGCCTTCCCTGCTGCGCCTGCCCCTCCTCCCTGCCCCGCCCCGGAGTTATGCCCTCTAGCCCCCCGCTGGCGGCTGCCTCCTCCATGTCCCTCCCGGCCGCTGCCCCCACCACCAGCGTCTTCTCCTTCTCGCCTGTCAACATGATCTCCGCCGTCAAACAGAGGAGCGCCTTTGCCCCGGTGCTGCGCCCACCCAGCTCTCCACCCCAGGCCTGCCCCAGAGCCCACGGAGAGGGGCATCCAGGTAAGTCATCCATCCTGTCTCAGGTAGCCTGAGGGAAGGGTGCTTGTGGAGCAACTAGCTGGAGGGACCCACATCATCTACATCTCACCAGTGCTTCATGAAGCTGACCATGTCTCCCTGGAGGGTACCCAGCAGGAAAATCTTTAGAAGTCCAAGGAGGTCCACCTAGTCTCCACTTCCCTGGACCTCATAACTAGAAGTGCCCTGAGCTCTCTCTGGACACTCTCAACTGGCCACTTGACCAAGGAAAAGACTGAAATCCCAGATGAGGAAGGTCTGGAAACCATCCCAATGGCCTATCCCCATCTATTTGAGCAAAAATCCAACTCTCATAGCTGGAGGAACCCATGTAGACTGCACGCCTTTTCCTATGTCCACCAGAGGGTAGCACACACCACTGTGAGAGATTGGCTACTCGATGAATGAAAGTGGACTGACCTTAGATAAGGTTTAGCCCAGCTTCCCCCTCCTCCTCCTTTGTAGATTAGGAAATGAGAGCAAGCGACCCCCTCTCTCACTTTGCACTCATGAAGCAGATCCTTTTAGCCTACAGAATTGTGCCCATATAAGTGCTCATTGGAACTCACTAGCAGAATGAAGGAAGACTGGCTGAGGGGAAGGAGGTGGAGAGAAACAGGTCCCAGTTTGCAGGGATTGTTGGGGACGGAGCTGGCTGAGGGTGTCTTCCCACAAGAGGCTTGCAGGTGTTCCCCTGTGAGGCTATAAGGATGCTCGTAGGGACCTCCTGGGACGCAGTGAAGAGCTTAGCACCTAAGCCCAGTACCTGATTTAGCACCTAGCTCAAAGTAGGTGCTTACTAACTACTTATCACATTTTTTTAAGGAATAAGTGGGTCAGAATCAGCCTCCTTCAAGCCCAGAGGCAGAGGGCGTCAATGTAATTTGCCGAAAACTGAGCTGAAAGAGGCTGGGGTAGAGGATGTCCTGTAGTATATCCCTCCCCTAGACAGTAGCCAGTGGTACTTAAGAAAGAATCAGTGTCCAAATTAGGTAAGTGAGTATATCACAGAAGAGTTTATTCAGTTTTTAATATGCTAAGAGTTTATTGTGAGTCTTCTAGGGAGCCGGAAATACAAATTTATTTGAGCACAAAATGTGTATTTCAAAGAGCATCTTGAGATTAGTTCGTGGGGATGCCCAGAAGACTGACAAAGAGACACCCATATGGTTTCCTCAGTCTGATGGGATTTGCTCAAGTGGGATCCAGTCATAGGAGCAAGCCCTGTGCCTTGGGTCCCAGAGTCATCCCTGGGTCCAATGCAGGGGCAGGTGGGGTAGCCCCCATACCCAGGCAGGGAGAAACTGTGGACAGTGCCCTGTGGGGTACTATGCTCCAGGGTCCCTGTATGAAAGGGTTTGGGGACACTGGAGGGAGAGTGGATCAAACAAGGAGCCTAGGAGAATAACTAAGGATGACAGATGTATACAGCAACGGGGCTCCCCTTGATCACCAAAAGACCTGACTGTACTTGGTGGGGGGAGGCATTCTGGTGTAGTCCAGAAACTTTTTAGGTGAGATTCTGCCCTGTTCTGCAGATAGAATGGGACCCCTCCCTCCACAAACTACTCCTCTGAACAGTCCATGCAGACCTGAGAGAGTGAGCAGTTACTGACTTTCATGCAGGGTAAGGGCAAGGTGGCTGGTTGGGAAACCATCCTCAGGATGAATCATCGTCAGAGAAGACCTTGCTCAAACAAGGTTTAAAGAATGAATTCGTATTTTAGTGGAGGAGGAATGACCAATGCTCTGGATGGAGGAGGCCTCAGGAAGGTGTGTGCCTGGGGAAGCAGGATGTTGAGGCCATATTCAGAACATTAAAAGCATAACTCATACAAACATATGTCAAAGATTTAGTTAACTAATGAATGAGGAAGCTAGCAGGATGATAAATGGGCTTAAAGGAGAATGCAGGTCAGTGAAGTCAGTGAATTAAAGAATACTGAGCCAGGCGCTGGTGGCTCACGTCTATAATCCTAGCTACTCAGGAGGCAGAGATCAGAAGGATCGTGGTTCAAAGCCAGACCAGACAAATAGTTTGCGAGACCCTATTTTGAAAAAACCCTTCTCAAAAAAGGGCTGGTGGAGTCGCTCAAGGTGTAGGCCCTGAGTTCAAGCCCCAGCACTGCCAAAAAAAAAATAATAATAATAATAAAGAAAAAAATGCTGAAATAAAAATGGCTAGAGTGTGGCTCAAAGTGGTAGACCACTTGCCTAGCAAGGCAAACCCCAGTTCTGCCAAAAAATGCTAAAATAAGACTTCCAGATGTAAACTAGGCAGTAAATACTAACCAGTCTGTGGGGATTATCTTTTCTACCAATTAGAGGTCATATGCTAATTACCAGTCTCCTCTAAGTTATCATTAACTTAAAGCCTGAACCCTAACCAGTAGTGTAAAGAAAGTAAAAAAAAATCACACCCTCTAAAATAAAGATGACTTTTAAGGTAGACTTAGTAGATAATACTCCAAGGAGACTTTAAAGGCTCTACAGTCCTAGCCAGGCATGGTGGCACATGCCTATACTTAGGAGGCTTGAGGTATTGAGAATTCCAGGCCAGCCTGAGCTACATAACAAGACCCTGTCTCAAAAAAGAAAAGAAAAAGGGGAGAAAAGGATACACAGTCTTTCTCTGCCTTATTTCCAACTTTTGCATAATGTCTTTTTTTGTTTGCATAATGTCTCTTTCTTTTGTTCTTATTTGAACTCAGGGCCTCACTCTTGCCAGGCAGGTGCTCTACCACTTGAGTCACTCCACCAGCCCTTTTTTGTGTTGGGTATTTTTGAGATAGGGTCTCACAATTTATTTGCCTGGACTGGCTTCAAACCAAGATTCTCCATCTCTGCCTCCCAAGTAGCTAGAATTACAGACATAAGCCACAGTGCCTGGTTCACATAATGTCTTAACCAAAGCATGCATGCAGCTTAAAATAGGAGGGATGGGGAAGACAGTGGGCCCTGAATTCTGCCAGCAAAGGGAAGCACAGAGGGTGATAGGCATGCCGGAGAATGATGAAGTGATACATTTCACATACAACAGATAGCATGCTGTAGTGCACATGTGTCAGTGCTCCTGGAGGCTGGTCTCTTTCCTTACTGTCTTGGTCCTTGACCATCTGCTTCCTCACCTTGACAAAGACCCTCTCAGGGAAACGGACCTGGGAAGAGGATCCTGGAGTCAGAGGAAGACAGGGAAACAAGAGTGTGAGAGGTCTGAGGGGCGCCCCTCACCTTTCTATCTGCAGTGCTGGCTCCAGGCCAGGGTTAGGGGCTGCTAACAGCCTGTAGAAAGTGCTATATGCCCTGCCTGCTGTTCCAGCCCAAAGAGGGATAGGTAGGTAAGGTCACCAGGCTGCACAAGGTTTATGGTTCCTTTCTCCTTGATAATCACAGAACAGTCTTTTGAAGATTCTGACAAGTTCCACTCTCCAGCTCGGGGGCTCCAAGGCCTGGCATACTCCTAATTATGGTAGGTACCAGTTGGGTCTTTCCTCCTCCACTGACCCAAGGATGGTTCTCTCTCCAAAATACCTTTGGGTTCAAGTCTCCCTCCCCACAACCCACCTAGACAGCTGGCTGAGGCACATAGACCACCCTAGTGGCCCAAGCTGATAAGGTGAAAAGAAGTGGCTTCCTGCCCCCTTGTAGCCAGCCTTCCTCCAGGACCTTCTCTCCTCCTCTCTCCCCACCAGGTCTGCAGGTGTTGCCCCCACAGAGCCCAGACTGGAGGTCCCTCTGGAATTCGCACTTATGCCCTGGATGGCGGTACAGATACAGGGCCAGGGCTGTGGGCATACCTCAATCCCTGAGCTGGGCAGGGAAAGGCCTTCTCCCTTCTGCTTAAGGCCCCCTCAGCCCCACAGGCTTCTCTCACCTCCCTTTCTTGGGGCTTGGAAGCCCCAGCACTGTGCTAATGCTCTTGGCAAGAGAGCATCCAAGGGAGGTGCTGGATGCCAGGCCTCTCACTGGGTCGGTTCCTCTGGAAGAGATGGATTTTGTGCAGACCAGGGATGTTGTTGAGGAGAGCAAGGGATGGGGACCATGGGAAAGAGGACAGCTCAGGGAGAGGTGACCTACAAATGTCCTGTTTGCATCTGATCCATCTCAACTGGCTCGGCATCCCAACTTCTCTCCAGTGAGCAAGGTGGTGTCCAGCAGCCTCAAGAGGTCACCCAACCAGGCTCCCATGGAGCTTCCCACAGCCACGAGACCCCATGGCTACTCCCCTTCCTTTGAGACCTGCACACTCATGCTTGGCATATCATGCCTCTTCTTGGGACTTTGGCATGGAAGAATCAAAGGGGGGTGCCAGGCCTCCTGAATTTTGAGTTTTGCCCCAATGGGTGAACTCTGATCCCCAATTCACACACTGACTGTGCTTGGCCCCATGGAATGGCCAGCTGCCCCCACAATGGCCTCTCACTCTGCTCTACTAACTTTGGAGAAAATGGAACAATAAACCAGATCAGGTGGCCACCTTGCCCTCTCTTGCCTGCTTCCTTGGTGTGGGTTTGCTTTTCTCAGTGGTTTTGCAGCTGTCACAGAGCCCCTCTGGACCATGACCCTAGGCAGCCTTCTTGTACCTTGGGCTTTTTAAAGAGCCCCAGAGATCAACTGAGCAAGTAGTCCCTGCCACATACCTGCTCTCAGGTCCTGTAGGGGGAAGAAGAAAAATGGACTAGCATGCCTGAGGACCCAGAAGATGGGCCTAGCTCCAATAGCTCTGGCTGGGACACAATCAGGCCACTGAGGATTCAGTCTCCTAGCTGTCTGGTCAAGACCAAGTTGAGGATTGTCAGAAAGACATTGACGGAAACCAGTACAGAGCCTAGCACATACTACCTAGATGTACAGAGGCTCAGAAATAAGGTCCAATAGCAGACAGAGGCTGGGGGAGGGGTCTGAGGTGGGCTTGGTGGGACAGCTTCTGGCTCCCAAACTGCCCCTCTAAGCCACACTCCAACCCCTCTTCCTTCTTTCCCATACTCAGGCCTTGTCTGGCTCTCCAGCCTCAGAGTTTGAGAAGAGGGTGGTAAAGAAACAAGATTCCTAGGCCCATTCACCCACACCCACCCCCAGAAGAATCTCAATTGTTCCCAAAGACATACTCCCCAGGTGAAGACCAGGCCATCTGACCCTCAAAGCCAACTTTTTGACCCCCTATTCAGAGGGCCTCAGGTTTTCCTCTTTCTCCTCAGCAACCTTGGCTCTGACCTCTGGAATCCCTATCCTTCCCAATCCATTCACTGACAGCCTGCAGTTTCCTGGACAAATATCCTCGCAAAGGCAGATGGGCTGGTCCTGTCCTGTAGAGGCCTCCACTTTTTTCTCTGGTGCTCTTAGCCATCATCTGAGATTCCTCTCACTCGGGACTCATGACAGAGGGTCATCCTGCCTCTGGGAAGTCTGTCCTATTTTCAGCACCTTATTTGCTAAGCCTCCCCTCAGTTCCTGATTGCAGGCACCAAACCCTGTCTGCCCAAGCTGTGCTCCATTCTGCTTCAAGCAGTTCCCACTGCCCAGGACCCTCCCAGGCTGAGCCCCTGCACACCTTTAATCTGTACTGCACACAAGTGGTAACTGGACAGTGGTCACACTCTGATCCCCAAGATGGGTCAGGTGCCATTATCATCATAAAATGAGACATACCTGTCCTCAAAGATCCTACAACACTGCTCAAGCCACCATTTAACACTGCCTTCTTTCATACACACACACACACACACACACACACACACACACACACACACTTCCAGGTGGAATATACATCAAAATGTGAAACTGAAACAAAAACATTTCATAACAGAAACTGTCTCAAAACATAAGGAACCATTTGAACCCCCAAAGTCTCTCTTCTCTAGGATATCTTTTGAGATAGGAAAAAGTTCAGTGGTAGAGCACTTGCCTGGCATGAATGAGGCCCTGGGTTCAATCTCCAGTACCACAAACAAACAAGACAAAAAAACCCCATAGTTTGCAGTGACTTTCTCCCCAAGAAGAGACAGGCCCTTCACTAGTCGTGAAGTTTCTAACTCCTTAGCCTGGAATGGCCAGCTTCCTCCACCTCATCTGTACAATTGCACTTGTACCCACAAGCCTCTTTCCTCTGTTATCACCTCAGTGGCAATAACAACCACTCAATGGAAAGGGAATAAGTGACTTCTTTGAAACAACCAGTCTAGAAGTCTGATGTTCACAAGGTCTTAAACATGAAAGTGAGGGTGTGAGACACTAGCCACAAGTGTGGACCTCAGGTCCTTTTATCACTCACTTCTCCCCCCATTCCCTTTCTCTTCACTCTCGTTATGAGATTTTTTTTTTCATTATGAGATTTTTTTTAATTCTTATGTTATTTTTTGGCAGCACTAGGATTTGAACTCAGGGCCTCACACTTGCTAAGCAGGTGCTCTACCACTTGAGCCACTACGCCAGCCCATTATGAAATTTTTGATGACTAGAATTTCCTCGTTGAATGTAGTGTACGTTTTCAATCTTTTCTGTATGGTTAGTACTTCTTATATCCTTTAGAAAAATCTGTACCTACTCCAAAGTCAGATATTTTTAGAAATTTTCTTATTTTTAGCTTTTACATCCACAATCCAACTAGAACTGACTTTTGTTTATGGTGTGAGGTAGGCATCAAGTTTAATGGTTTTCGTGTGGAAAACCCAGCACCATTTATTGAAATTATGCATCTTTTTCTCTACCTTATTACTCTGAAATCTTTGTCATAAATCAAATGTCCACATATGTAGGAGTCTGTTCTGGATTCTCTATTCTAATCCATTGATCTTTTGTCCATCCTTACACCAAAACCACAGTATCTTAATGACTTAGGAGTAATACTAAGTTTTGTCATCTAGTAAAGCAAGTTGTCCAACTTAGTTCTTTATAATTATCTCAGCTACCTGAGGGTTGTTTCTGTATCTTTTTTTTTCCAGAGCTAAGGGTGGAACCCAAGGCCTTGTGCAGGCTAGGCAAGTGCTCTACCACTGAATTACATCCCCAACACTTAGTTTTTTTGAGACTAACTCTAGCTATCTTGCTCAAATCGGCCTGAATTTGCAATCTTCCTGCCTTCTCCTCCTGAGTACTGGGATTACAGAAATGTGCCATGACATGGGGCACCATATTATTTTAAAATCAGTCTATTAGCTCCTTTTTAATTTTTTTTAATATTTTTAAATCTAGGGTTTTTAAAAATGTTTTATTCATTTATTCACATTTAGCTCCTTTTTTAAAAAAATGCTGGATGTTCATTGGGATTGCATTAAATTTATAAATCAATTAATGGAGAATTGACAACTTTAAAACACTATTCAACCCATGAGTATTATATGTCTAGCCCTCCATTTATTTTGGTCTTATAAAACTTCTCTCAATGTTTTATAAGCCTCTATATGAAAGTCTTACACATCTTCCACTTACCCCTAAGTCTTTTATTTTGAACTATTATAAATGTCCTTTTCTTAATTTCATTTTCCAAGTATTTGTTGTAGATATATAGAAACACAATCGGCCATTGTATAATAACCTTGTATCCTGCAACTTTGCTTAGATCACTTATAGTAATACCTATCTATGTGTCTTAAGCACATAATTTTCTTAGGTACATAATTATGTCATCTGTAAACAAGGACAGTTTTATTTCTTCACGCAGTTCTTATTTTATTTTAATTAATTTTTCTTACCTAAAAGCACAACTTGGAACCTCCAATACCTCTATTCAATACACTGTTGAATAGAAACAGTGATAGTGGATATCTTTGTTTTGATTTTGATCCCAGAAGGCAAACTTTTAGCATTTCACTAGTAAGGATCATGTTTGATTTAGAGATATATTTCAGTTCCTAATTTTCTAAAAATTAAAAAATTTATGTCTAATTTCCAAATTTTGTGAAATGTTTTTCTGCATTATTAAGAGAATCAAATTACTTTCTCCATGATTTTGTTAATGTGCTAAATTGCATTAATTACATGTCTAATTTAAAGTCTTTGCATTAACTAATTGTATGTTTAATGACAAACTGCCATATGTCCTTTACCTAAGGTATATCAAGTATTAACATGCAGCCCCATTCTGCCTCTATTTCTCTCTTTCATCTCTGTACTACTCCTGCAGAAGATGCCTACTGCATCTTGCCCTTCCCTAACTCTTGAGAAGCTAGGCGTATGGAAGAGAAAATTCAGGCCTCTACATATCACCTCAGTACATCCTCCTACCACACTAGCTTCTGCTACCTCCTGGGAGCAGGGTGTGGAAAATACAAGAACAAACACAGCCATTCTACCTCAATCTAACCTGTCTTTTACCATTCTATTTTAACCATTATGATCCCAATCCAGTTGAACTCCTCAGTTCTGCGTCTCCTGTATTGGAGATCCACAGAGGCCTTCATGAGTGGCTGTCTAGGAGCTCCTTCCTGCACTCACTTGGCAAAGCTGAAAATATCCAAACCCCTCAACCTGCCTCAACCTTGGCAAGGGAGTATATGGGAGGTCTCAGTTTGGAGCTGTCAAAGGGGAATAGGTCAGAGGGTTCTGAGTGCTCAGATACCCACTGGAGACAGAATGGAAGAAACTTCATAACTCTAAAGATGCAGAAGAGACTTCCCAGCAGGGCAGTAACGGAAACAAGACTGGCTCTACCCATTTATTTTTGACTATTTTATTCCTTGACAGAGAAGGAGCCAAGTGTTTAAAAGAGGAAGGGAAAATGTCATTAAATATTACTGTTGTTCCTTGGAGCCAAGCATTCTAGCATCTTGGTTCTTCAAAGCCTTTCTTGCCTGCTCCTCTGACAGCTTGAGAATGAAAGCTGCCCTGATGCACCTTGGGCTGGGGGTGGCAGGAAACTTGGGCTGCCAGGAGCCCTGGTATCCATCCATGAGCACAACTCCTGAAGGCTTGCCTTGGAACCGGTGAAGGGCAGAAAAGCCCTCTAGCCTGGGACCTTGCCCTTGGTTCCATGGACCTGGGAGCCTGCCACTCCTCCTCCCCCAGGTATCCATCCACACACTCACCCAGAACTAAGTTCACCTTCTGGTGGATGGGGGAAGATCCAGCCACTTTCGGGCTGGCACTTACTCAAGCCCAGCCAGCTTTGGCTTCTGTGGTGAAAGCTGGTTTGTCTGGGCCACTCCCCAGGCCTTACTTGGAGCTGGGCCTGAGGTTCACCTTGCCAAGACAAACTGTGGCTGCCAGTGGAATGTGGTGGAGTGACTATTGAGCAGCCCCAAACCTGGCAGGCCTGCCAATAGGGCCCCCTCAGGTTCCCTAGCATGAAGCACTGCAGGTCCCCAGGGTCAGGTCAGGTCAGGAGCAGATACCAGGAGGCTGCCAGGCACCTCTTTGTGCATTTGTTGAGTGAAGCAGGCATCTCTGGGCTTGGTCTTACCTAAAAACCAAAAAGTCCATTATCAGGCCTCATGGTTGACAGGAAGAGGGGAGTGGAAGGGAAAGGGACAGAGGAGGTGAGAGGAGAGGAAAAAGAAGAGAGAAGAGCCTC